GAAAATCAAGAAAGAAAGTAAGGAAAAAGAAAGCCCATGGGGGTCTAAAGAAATATATTTGGAAACAAGTTCTGTAGGTAGGAACTACAGAGGCCAGAGTCAAAGAAGGCATGACTATGGCGTGGTCAGTAGGATAAGCAAAGGTAAAATTAAATTCCACGTTGGTGAAATAAATCAAAAGGCTAAGGATGTTAACCTATAGGCTTTCTGAAGGAATGGCTGAAATTAAAACTGAGGAGGGAGTCTGGGAAGATGGCAGAATAAGAGGATCCTAAGCTCACCTTATTCCATGGATACACACCCAAATAGCAGCCACATCAGTGCAATGAACAAAGAAAATGACCCAGAGAAAGATTAAAATCACACCATGCACCTTTTCTGACTACAATGGTATGAAACTAGAAATCAATCACAAGAAAAAACACAAACACATGAAGCTTATGTAACATGCTACGAAACAATGAGTAGGTCAACCAATAAATCAAAAAGGAAATAAAAAAATAAAGGGAAATAAATGAAAATGACAACACAACCATTGGAAATCTTTGGGATAGAGCAAAACTATTGAAAAGGGAAGATTATAGCAATATAGGTCTACCTTAATAAGCAAGAAAGATCCCAAATAAACAACCTAACTTTAGACCTAAAGGAGAAAGAAAAACAAAAAAACAAAACAAAACAAAACAAAACAAAAAAACAAAGCTTAAAGCCAGTAGAAGGAAGGAAATAAAGATTAGGGCAGAAATAAATAAAGACTAAGAAAACAACAGAACAGATCAATGAACCCAGGGTTGGTTATTTGAAAAGATCCAACAAAATTGATAAATGATTAGCCAAACTCATAAAAAACAAGAGAGAGAACTCAAATCAAGTCAGAAATGAAAGAGGAGAAATTACTGACATGACAGAAATACAAAGGGTTGTAAGAGATTATTATGAAAAATTATATACCAACAAATTAGACAACCTAGAAGAAATGGATAAATTCTGAGGAGCATATAACTTCCCAAAACTGAATCAGGAAGAAATAGAAAATCTGAACAGACTGATTACTGGCAATGAATTCAAATTAGTAATAAAAAAACTCCCAACAAACAGAAGTCCTGGACCAGATGGCTTCACAGGTGAATTCTACCAAATATTTACAGAAGGGTTAATACCCTTTCTTCTCAAACTGTTCCAAAAGCTACAAGAGGAAGGAATACATCCAAATTCATTCTATGAAGACCAGCATTACTGGGATACCAAAACCAGATAAAGACACTACAAAAAAAGAGAACTGTTGGCAAATATCTCTGATGAACACAGATGCCAAAATCCTCAACAAAATATTAGTAAACGGAATCCAACAGTACATTTAAAAAAATGACTCACCACAACCAAGTGGGATTTATTCCTGGGATGCAGGGTGGTTCAGTATTCTCAAATCAATGAATGTGATATATCACATCAACAAGAGAAAGGATAAAAACCATCTGATCATTTCAACAGATGCAGAAAAAGCTTTTGACAAAGTACAACTATCCATTCATGATAAAAAACTCTCACCAAAGTAGGCTTAGAGGGAAGATACCTCAACATAATAAAGCCCATATAAGAAAAATCTGCAGCTAACATCATACTCAATTGTGAAAAACTGGGAGTTTTCTTCTAAGATCAGGAACAAGACAAGGATATTTACTCTCACCACTTTTACTCAACATAGTACTGGAAGTCCTAGCCACAGCAATCAGACAAGAAAAGAAAGAGATAGCCAAATTGGTAAGGGAAATTTCACTATTTGCAGGTGACATGATACTCTATATAGAAAACCTGAAAGACTCCACCAAAAAACTACTATAATGGACAAATGAATTCAGTAAAGTAGCAGGATACAAAAGTAATATACAAAAATCTATTGCGTTTCTATACAACAATAATGAAGTAGCAGAAAGAGAAAATAAGGAAACAATCTCATTTACAATTTCACCAAAAATAATAAAATACCTAGGAATAAACTTAACCAAGGAGGTGAAAGACTTGTACTCTCAAAACTATAAAACACTGATAAAAGAAATTGAAGATGGCACAAATGGTAAGATATTCCATATTCATGTATTAGGAGAACAAATATTATTGAATAACCAAAGCAATCTTGAAAAAGAACAAAATTGGAGACACTGAAATCGCAGATTTCAAGACATATTACAAAGCTATAGTAATCAAAATGGTATGGTACTGGCACAAAAACAGTAGATGAATGGAGGAAAATACAGAGCCCAGAAATAAACCTATGTTTTTATGGTCAATTAATCTATGACAAAGGAGGCAAGAATATGCAATGGGAAAAAGACAGTCTCTTTAACAAATGCTGTTGGGAAAACTGGACAGCTATCTGACAAAGAATAAAATCTGACCACTTTTTTACTCGATACACAAAAATAAACACAAAGTGGATTAAAGACCTAAATATGAGACTTGAAAGCCCAAGATTCTTAGAGGAAAACAGGCAGTTATCTCTTTGACATCAGCTACAGAAACATTTTTCTAGATATGTCTCCTTTGGGTAAGGGAACAAAAGCAAAATCAAACTATTGGGACTACATCAAAATAAAAAGCTTTTGCATAGAGAAGCAAATCATCAACAAAACAAAAAGACACCCAACTGAATGGGAGATGTTTGAAAATGATATATCCAAAAAAGTTAATATTCAAAATATATAAATAACTTATGCAAACTCATCACCAAAAACCCAAATAATCCAAGTAAAAATGGGCAGAGGATATAAAAGGACATTTTTCCAAAGTAGACATACAGAGATGGTCAGGAGACACATGAAAAGATGCTCAATATCACCAAAAATCAGGAAACTGTAAGTCAAAACCACAGTGAGATATCCCCTGACATCTGTCAGAATGGCTAAAATAAAACACAAGAAATAACAAGTGTTGAAGATGTGGAGAAAAAGGAACTCTCCTGTACTGTTGGTGAGAATGCAAGCTGGTGCAACCACTGTGGAAAACAGTATGGATGTTTCTTAAAAAGTTAAAAACAGAATTACCATATATTCCAGTAATTCCCCTACTGGGTTTATCAAAACAAAAACACTAATTCAAAAAGATATATGTACCCCTATGTTTACTGCAGCATTATGTATAACCGCCAAGATATGGAAGCAAACCAAGTGTCCATCCATAGATGAATGGAAAAAAGACTTGTCTCTCTCTCTCTCTCTCTCTCACACACACACACAGACACACACACAAAGACACACAAACACACAGACACACAGACACACACACAAAACGTAATATAACTCAGCCATAAAAAAGAATGAAATCTTGTCATTTGTAACAACATGCATGGACCTTGGGGGTATAATGTTAAGTGAAATAAGGCAGTCAGGGAAAGACAAATACCATATGATTTCACTCATATATAGAATTTAAGAAACAAAACAAAGGAACAAAGGTCGAAAAAAAAGAGACAAACCAAAAACAGACTCTTAACTATAGAGAATAAACCGGTGGTTGTCAAAGGCGAGATGAGTGGGGGAATGGGTAAAATAGGTAAAGGGGATTAAGAGTACACTTATGTGTACTCTTATGGTGTACTGTCATGTACTCTCATGGTGAGCAGTAAGTAATGCATAGAATTGTTGAATCATTATATTGTACACATGAAATTAATATAACACTGTTAATTATAGTTGAATTAAAAATGTAAAATAAAATAATAGCAAAAAGAAAAAACAAAACCTAAAACTGATATGCAGCTTTGGAGCAAAATATTTAATGGCTGGAGAGAAACCAAGATGATCACCTATTAAATATGTGTATCTTTCTGTAATCCTCTATTCCAACAGGAAAAAATAATAAAATAAAGAAGATGAAGTGTTATTTACTAAAGTTATCATCACTTTGGTGCTTACTCTTTGCCAACCACTGTTTGAAGTGCTTAACAAGTATTAGCTATTTATCTATTTATCTATCTATCGAGAGAGAGAGAGAGAGAGAGAGAGCAAGCACAAGAACAGGGAGCGCCAGAAAGGGAGAAGCAGGCTCCTTGCTGAGCAAGGATCCTGATGTGGAACTTGATCCCAGGACCCTGGAATCATGATTTGAGCCAAAGGCAGATGCATAATCTACTGAGTCCACCAGGTATCCCAAGTATTAGCCATTTAATCTCTACTTCAACTCTGTGAAGAAAATATACTTATTATCACCATTTTACCAATGAGGAGACAGAGGCACAGAGAGTTTAACTTGCTCAAGGTCGCACTGCTTGTTGGTAAACTGATTCTCACAATTATCCTGAGCCTAGTTACAAACTGGGTAGAGTCACCCTCTCATGGGAATGAGTTTAGGGCCACTTACAATAATAATAAGACCACAAATCACTGCTATGAAGAAGATAATAATTTTAATTGACGGTAGGTAATCCTTTTAAAAAAATCATACATGGTTACCAATCAGGTTTGAGGGATACATAATATGAAAGGGCTGCAAATGGATGTGAGTGGCCAGTAGAAAGATTAAGAAGGAAAAAAAAGGTTCTAAGTCCAGAAAGCAAAGTGTATCAAATGACTTTTGGTAATACTGAAGGTAGAAGTCCCATGATAAATATTCATACAGTTCATGTTAGGTAGACATGAGACCCTTAGAGTCTGCTGGCATGGTGCTGTAATCACGCAGTGGTATGATAAGTAATTTTACATATCTTTATACTATTTTTCTTCTCCTAGGAACTGTAGCAAACAGTGTACTACTGGATCTTTGGTAAAGATGTGGTATAAGAATCTAAGATATCATTATTGTAAAATACCTGTATATTGGAAAAAAATATTAGGGGGAAAATAGACCTTGCTTATCATTAATGAAGCATGTTTTTTCCCAAGGAAAGAGGATAAAAAGCTTCCTTCAAAGTCCACCAACAACTGATGTTAAAGAACAGGGAATGGTGTAGAGGAGTAGAAGCTGATTCCAGAATTTAACAGTTGTGACTCCTACAGTACTGTCACCTGTTTGGTCTTCTTTGACAGGGCTGGTACTGGAGCTGTCTCCTGCTCCATTTCTGGGTCTCCTCCTCCTTCACCACCTGATGCTTCTACAAAATATAAAGTTTAAAAATTAGAAAAGCATCTCTCTCTCTCTTTCTTTCTCCCATTGCTAGTGCAAACTTGGTACCACCTCTCTAGAAAGCTCTATGCCTTGATTCAGTAATTCTGCCTCTAAGAAGCTGAATTCAAGGAAACAATCCAAAATATAGAAATCTAAGCACCAAGATGTCAGTCTAATTCGTAAAACTGCAAAACTGAAGATTATCTAGATGTCTTACTTTTGAGAATGTTTAATTATGGAGCACTTAAACTGATTTTACAGATATTAAACTCCTCATTTTCAGATAAGAAAACTGCCGTTTAGAGGGGTAAGGCATTTTGCCCCAGGTTACAGACCTGGGAACCCCAATCTATTTGAGTCCAAAGTCTTCTCCACAAATGATACTGCCTGACCTCAAAAACAGTAGCTCTTGACACCTGTATGCTAGTCCGAGGGGGAATGTTAAGAAATGGTGACAAAAAGATTATAGATCATGAGAAACACTTATTTTGAATTTTTTAAATCTTTCAACAATGGAAAAAAATAAATTCTTACTCTAAGAGTCAGGAAAAATCAAAGTTTTAGGTTTTTCTGTCTATAAAGCTCTCTTGAAGAAACATAGCAACCACAGTCTCTTCCCATAATGCCATACTGCCTTCCAGATTTTAGTGGTTGCTTTCCTTATCTGTCTATCTATCTATCTATGCTTCAGATCTCTATTGCTTTTTCTTAATTTAAATTTTAGTTAGTGAACATACAGTGCAATATTGGTTTCTGGAGTAGAATTCAATGATTCATCACTTATGTACAACACCCAGCACTCATCACAGCAAGTGCCCTCCTTAATACCCATCACCAATCTAGCTCATCCCCCATCAACACTGTTCTCTATAGTTAAGAGTCTCTTACAGTGTATTTCCCTCTCTCCCTCCCTTTTTTTTTCTTTCTCTCCTTCCCATATGTTCATCTGTTTTCTTTCTTAAGTTCCACATATGAGTGAGATCATCTGGTATTCGTCTCTGACATTTCACTTAGCATAATACATTCCAGCTCCATCTAGGTCATTGCAAATGGCAAGATTTCATTTTTTTGATGGCTGAGTATTATTCCATTATGTGTGTGTGTGTGTGTGTGTGTGTGTGTGTATACACACACTCCACCTCTTCTTTATCCATTCATCAGTTGACAGACACTTGGGCTCTCTCCATAGTCTGGCTATTGCTGATAATGCTGCTATAAACATCGGGGTGCATGTACCCCTTTGAATCTGTATTTTTTATCCTTTAGGTAATATTTCATAGTGCAATGTTAGATTATAGGATAGTTCTATTTTTAAATTTTTGAGGACTCTCCATAGTGTCTTCCAGAGTGGCTGTACCAGTTTGCATTCCCACCAACAGCGCAAGAGGGTTCCCCTTTCTCTGCAACCTCGCCAACACCTGTTGTTTCTTGTGTTGTTAATTTTAGCCATTCTGACAGGTGTGAAGTGGTATCTCAGCATGGTTTTGATTTGTATTTCTTTGATCATGAGTGATTTGAACATTTTTTTCATTCATGTGTTGGTTAGCTAGGTTAGCTGGATGTCTTCTTTGGAAAAATGTCTATTCATGTCTTCTGCCCATTTTTTCTTTCTTTCTTTTTTTAAAGATTTTATTTATTTATTTGACAGAGATCACAAGTAGGCAGAGAGGCAGAGGGGGAAGCAGGCTCCCTGCTGAGCAGGGAGCTGGCTGCGGGGGCTCGATCCCAGGATCCTGGGATCAAGACCTGAACCAAAGGCAGAAGCTTTAACCCACTGAGACACCCAGGTGCCTCTTCTTTTTTTTTAAATTTTATTTTTTATAAACATATATTTTTATCCCCAGGGGTACAGGTCTGTGAATCGCCAGGTTTACACACTTCACAGCACTCACCATAGCACATACCCCAGGTGCCCCTTCTGCACATTTATTAACTGGATTGTTTTTGGGGTGTTCAGTTTGATAAGTGCTTTATAGATTTTGGATACTAACCCTTTATCAGATATGTCATTTGCAAATATCTTCTCTCATTCCATAGGATGCCTTTGTTGATTGTTTCCTTCCCTATGCATAAGTTTTTATCTTGATGAAGTCCCAAAAATTCATTTTTGCTTTTGCTTCCCTTGCCTCTGGTGATGTGTCTAGTAAGAAGCTGCTACAGCCAGTTAAAGAGGTTTCTGCCTGTGTTCTCCTTTAAGGTTTTGATGATTTCCTATCTCACATTTACGTCTTCCATCCATTTTGAATTTATTTTTGTGTGTGGTGTGAGAAAGTGGTCCAGTTTCATTCTTCCACTTGTTGCTCTTCAGTTTTCCAGACAAGTGGTTCCTCCCTTTAAATACATTTTTGAATTTTTAAAAGGCTTTACTCATTCTCTTTGAATTTCTCTACGAACTTCAAAGTCATCCCAGAATGTGAATTTGTGAGCAACCTTGGTCAGAATTCCTATTTAGGTCTCAATTAACCAAACTGGTAATCTTGTGCTTTTAAATGTTTGCACACTGTGGTGGCTAATTTTATGTGTCACAGGGTACCCAGATATTTGGTTAAACATTATTCTGGGTGTTTCTGTGAGGGTGTTTTTGGGTGAGATTAACATTTGAATGGTAGACTGAATAAAGCAGAGTGCCTTCCCTAGTGTGGGTGGGCAGTCTCATTAGATGAAGACCTGAATAGAAACAAAAAGGCTGAACTTCTGCTGAGTAAGAGAATTTTTTCTGCCTTTGGATTTTAACTGAAACATCAGCTTTTCCTGCATCTAGAGCCTGTCACGCTTCAGACTAGAACTACAACATCAGCTATCCTGGTTCTCAGGCCTTCTGACTAGGATTGGAATCTGGGTTCCAGCTTGCTGATTCACACTGCAGATGTTGGGACTTGCCAGAGTCATGGAGTGCATAGGCCAACTCCTTCTTTTATATACAGACAGATATAGATGTAGATATATAGATACAGATATGTATCTCCTATTGGTTCTGTTCTTTTAGAGAACCCTGATTAAGACATATACTTTTAACAGTATAGCATGGAAAAAATTACAAAAAAGGATTCTACCCATGGAATAATAGCAGTAAGGCAATTAATAGAGCTTTTAAATGATTATGTTGGCATTAAAAGTATTCATAGAATTTCTGCTTCTGGAAAGGCAATAATAGTTGCAGTAGTAGTATTTTTCTCTATTCCTTCTGCTAAGTACAGCTAAAAATCCTGGACCTTATATATAAAACAAACATAGGAAGTCTCTTAAAGGTAGAGAGAAGACAGTCTGGGACCTTTGGGTATAAGGGAAAACACAGCAGTTAGCTCCCTGCATTTTCTTTTTGCCTCATTATCTCAGGCTTAGGGTTAAAGAAGCCATAACTTGGAAATGCCAATGGGAGCAGATAAAAAAAGCCCCAACAAACATCTGTTCTGTTTAACAAAATGACCAGGAAAGGGGCCACCTAGCAAGACCAAAAATGTTTAGATAAAAACTATCTATGTTTAGATAAAAAACTGTGGTCTTGCCCCAATTAGCAAAGGCTGAGTGGGGAGCCTAGACTTCTACCCTTGCCAGGCTGTAATGAGGCAACCCAACTCCTCCTCCACCTGCCACTAGGGCAGTATCAGAGATGATCAAGCAGTGACTGAAATCCCAAAGGGATTTTCATCTCTTAAGGGTAATGACAAATCCCTGTTCCCCCCTCCTATCACTACCACCACCACTGCAGTATCAATAGAGACCACATGGTAGGCCTTGATTCCATCTCCTCAGGGAAATAATGAAGTGAACCTCTCCCTCCTCACTAGGATGGTGTTAGAGGAGGACTAGTAGAGAGTCATCATATATTGCCCAGTGGTATAAAGGCCTCACCTACCCTAGTGGTTTTAGCAACCACTTAAAAAGCTATACAAAGGAATATACTCAAAAACACTAAAATAAATCAAAACAGAATTCCAAAATGCTCAAGTAACACATAAGAAGTCAGGAAAGAGAAAACAGAGAAATTAAAAAGAGCAAACAGAAAAAACAGAATAAAATGTTAGATTTAAACCCTTACATATCAATAATCACATTAATGTAAATGGCCTAAAAATGCAAATTTAAAGATAGAGATTGACAGAGTAGATTAGAAAACATGATCTAACTATATGTTATTTACAAGGAACGTACCTCAAATATAACAACATAACAAGTTGAAAGGAAAATGATGGAAAAATTTTAACATATAAATATTTAAAAGATATTTTAAAGATTTTATTTATTTACTTGACAGACAAGAGAGACGGCACAAGCAGGTGGAGCGGCAGGTAGAGGGGCAGGCAGAGGGAAACAGGCTTCCCACTGAGCAGAGAACCTGACACGGGGCTCAACCGCTAGGACCCTGGGATCATGACCTGAGCCAAACGCAGATGCTTAACTGACTAAGCCACCCAGGTGCTCCACAATTTTTTTAAAAAAATATTTTATTTATTTATTTGAGAAAGAGGGTGAGAGAAAGAGAGCCCAAGCTGGGGAGAGGGGCAGAGGGAGAGGAAGAGGGAGAGGCAAGCTCCACACTGAACAGGGAGCCCGAGGTGGGGCTTGATCCACCCAAGCACCTCAACATACAAATACTGATCAAAAGAAAGCAGAGTGGCTATATTAATATCAGATAACTGACTTCAGAGTAAGGAAAACTACTTGAGAAAAGGACATTATATAACAATGAAAGTGTGGATCTGTCAAGAAGACATAACAATTCTTAATGTGTATGCACCAAACAAAAGAGCTACAAAATACATGAAGCAAAAACTGAGAGAAATGAAAGAAGAAACAGACAAAAGTACAGTTCAATTGCAAAGTTCAACAGTTCTCTCAGAGCAAGGATATAGAAGAATTAAGTGATAACCATTTCCCAATAGGATCTGATCAACATTTGCACTCAACATTCCACTCAACAGAATACACATTCTTTTTAAATGTTATGGAACATACCCTAAGATAGATCATATTCTAGGACATAAA